CTACGCTTCCTGGTCCACAACAAAATCTCGACCTTTCATGCACTGTCTCCTTCCCAGGATAAAATTACTTTTTCACACAACATAGCTGGCCTTGAAAAGCCAAAGCCGGCGATCCTCATCTAGTCCTGTCCATCAGCCGAAGAAGGTACCGGAGTGCAGCCAACGCGCTCAGAACAGAATGGAGTGACAACCTCTTGTATTTGAGCCTTCAGCGCACTATTATGGCAGCTCGCCCCTCGTAATCGACAATGGCCGCCGCCCCCGGGTTGTGGTTTGAGCGGGAAGCATTGATGTGCATGTGAACGGAGGCCTTCGACAGCAATTAGAATGTTGCTGAGGTTAGGTGCGAACTAAACGCTGGGCAGAGGAGCAAATAAGACTGGTCCCCGGATAGAACTACGGTAGACATCAAAGTCCAAATGACTAACAGTTGGAAGCAGCGTGCGTAAACCGGGGTTGCGCAGACGTAGCTGACAGCCAACATTGCAACGAGCGGTTTCCGACTCGATGACCTGCAGAAATTTCACCGACGTTCACTTGCGCACACACACTTGAGTCCAGGTAGTTGCGGTTACTTAAGGGCCACTTGAACACGCCACCTATTGTATTTCATGTTGAAGCCACAAATGTCGCTGGGAGCCTGATCCTAATTCTATCGAAAAATTTAGAGCAATCCGAAAAGCATGGGTATGCGGGCTGAAAGAGCTGAGGAAAGAGAAAGAAAACTAAATAAAAGGCGGATCTAAAAACCCTAACAGGCGGAGCAATGATCTGAAGAGGAGACATGTCTATAGGTCAGTCATTCGGCGCCCACTAGAGAACTAGCTATATGCTGTTGTCCAACTATGCGGATCTGTTCTGCTGGAGTAAACCATTTCTATGTGACAGAGAATTTCTTTATAAACACTCGAATTTTCTTAAGCATAATCCCATCTGTTGGAAAAACGTCAAACAATACCAAAATTAAGACTGTGTAAAGTGCCACCAAAACTGGGGTTGTCGATTACCACAGACTACGCACCGAATTTTATACGATATTTCAAGAAATAAAGTGGCACAAGGAAGACTGGAATAAATGTTTCTCCTTTGTGAAGTAAAAGACACGATCAGTGGAACACGAGCTTCGTTGGGCTGACACTCAAATCTATTATCATGTTTATTTAACTAAGTCTCTGATGATGGATTCAAGTGAGAAACCAGAAAGTCAGGCTTATAACGCTTTTGTTCCAGCGATCATATATTTCTTGATACTACTTCCTGGAACTCGCCCATTTATTTCTATTGACATCTTTCAGGTTTATGTGTGGTTACTACCAACCAGCTCAGGTTGGGGAGGCCTGGCCGGTTCTCAGACCGAGAAGCCGTGGAGCTGGAACACGAGTGTTCTGGTAACTTAGTTTGTATGCATTGCGTCACTTACTGGCGGATCATAAAGTTATTCCACGGTACCTTTTTTGGGTAAGAAATACGCATTTACAAACAACCGACACGATCCTTTGTGATAGCCACATCTTAGAGATTTAGTTAGCTGCGCGGGCCAGCTTCTAATTCAAAATTAACGTTTAAAAACAGTGTTAAGTTGGCTGTGAACTTTTTGAAGAATTGACCTACTTATTATACCTGGCGTTTAAGCTTTCTGACTTCTAAGCAAGACTGTTCCAATTTTGGAGAATCCTTCAGCTAGCAGCGGTAGGCATAAGCGAGACATGGTTGGCGGATATTCAATTCAAAAATCTGTCTGTGGAGTGTTGACGATGTTTTCGCAAACCAGAACTTCAAAAACTGTCCAACCACACAAACACCGGATTTCCAGGCGGCTTACTCACATTGAAAATAGAAGTTAATGCTAAACTACCGTTATCGGTGAGATTCTGTTGCCATTCATAGGAACACAACAATCCTGAAATCCGCGCGGGCCTTTTGAGGCATAATATGGGCAAAAAGGCCTAGAAGTCATCTGGAAAAGATGAAACCCCAAGTGAATTTGAGGGTGTCAGATCTAGAAAAGCGACTGTCATTGCGTACACAATCTGGATGTTGGGTAAAGGTTGTAGAAACCAATAAAAACTTACACAAGAATTGTTTGTACTAAATTGTCATCTTAATGTCGAGACACCTGTGCAGGAATCAGTCTTCTTATGTCATCTTAATATTCACAAGTATAGAGATATAAAAACTGCTTAATCGGGTCATAAAGAAGGCACTCACCCCCGCAACGGCGGCGCGGAAGGTCTCAGAAAGAAGATCCTCAGTACTACACCAGGGCGACTCCGGATGCTGGTTCTGCAGATGGCTTCTGGCAACATGCAGGCTGCTGAAGCTGGAGGAGCGACAGTGAGGACAAACGTAGGCATCCACATCAAGGTGAGCACGAGCAAAATGTGCTCTCAGTGCGGCTGGCTCACCGACGAGACCGCAGACTGAGCAGACAAA